TGAACACCCTGAGGATCGTCCCAAGGCTGGTTCTTGCTTCCCATTCATGGCTCAGCCCCCAGGCCCAGCTAAAATGCCAGCCGAAATGCCACCTTGCCATTCGTGCAGTCACTGTCTTTATTTCCTTCTTGACACTTATCTCTCCCTGTGATATCATCTTTGTTGATTTGCTTCTCATTTCCTGCCACTGGTGTGTACCCTCCACCTGAGAGGGGACCGTGGCTGACTTGTCCGTTCCAGTTCTCTGCTGATGGAAAGAGGCTGACACATACAACCTGCTCAGTAAATCTTTATTGAGAGAATGAAGAAAAAAATGCAGAGTCATGGAAGTAGGGCATGGAAAGTACCAGCAGGTGGCATGGTGGTTAAGGCACTGGACTCTCACAAGACCTACCACTGGTCAAGTCCCTGGTCTGGGGGCTTTGCAATAAGTATGTATGTGTGCACGTCCATAAGTCTAAGAGGGGAATGGGAGAGAAAGAATTATGGCATGGACATTGCCCCTCGGGGGTGACTTTTCACTTTCCTTCTTAGTATTTCTCTCTGTCTCTCTTGGGCGAATGTGCATGTCCTATAGCAAAAATCTAAAAAAAAAAAAAAAAAAAATTGTATAAATGAAGGATGGATTGAAAAGGGAAGAAAAGGAAGAGAAGAAATTCAAAAGAGGAGTTATGGCTAGGCAGACAGGATAAGGAGAAGAAGGGAGAGAGAGAGAGAGAAGGAGACAGAGAAAAGAAGGGAGGCCGAGGGCCAGGACAGCAAGAGCGGAAGACGGTGCAGCGATGTAGGAGTGCCCATGACCGTGTGTGCCTTGCCCAAGTAACTCCCCCCCTTCAGACTGCTTTTCGTACCTTCAAAGTGCAGTCTCTTTAGAAGCTGATTCCCATGCTTTCCCAGATCCGCCCACGCAAGCTTCACCTAGAACCACACCTGAGAGAATGTTCCATCCAGTTCCATTTCGCAGATGAAGGCACAGAAGCCCACGAAAGCAGCAAACTAAGTACGTGCGGATCTAGGCAACAGTGGGCCTTGGGCCAGAACCTGTCCTGCCTACTTCCTGATGCCGTTTTTTTTTTTTTTTTTTTTTTCAGGGGGACAGCGCTTTTGTGTATGCGTTCTCAGAGAGAGAGATTTTTGGTATAGAGTATGTGCACTCACCAGAGAGACAGAAAGACAGAGAGTGATAAATCATCCTCCAGGGGGAATGGCCACACCACAATCCCTTTCCCTCCATTCTCCTCTTGGGATTTTGGGCACGCACGCACACGTGCCTGGCATAAGTTTTAAGCCACTGGATCTGGGATGCCAACCATGGTCAACTACGCGAGAGTCCAGTGACCCAACCATTATGCCACCTGCTGGTCCCTGATGCTCAGTGTTGTGTAGATAGGCAATAACGATGATGTGAATTCTGAATTCCTATCAGTCTCAGAATTCTCCTGGTTTAGTACCACATTGATTTAAAGTAGCTCTAAACACGACGAGTGCAGTTGCCCACACGGCAGCGGGGAACTTCCCTTTGCCCTCCAAGCCACACGTGTGTGACTAATCCGGACCCATGAGGTGCACCGTTGCTGTTGTTTCTGGCGGCATGCCACCCAGGTGGAACAGCAGATGGGAGACCAGGCCTACCCTGAAACTGTTTCCTAACGTGAAGAATGGTCTAGAGAGGCTGGCTTTGGGCGTGCTAATTAATGGAACACGTGACGACCAAGGTGAGGCTCATGGTGGCTTTCATAGTCAAACACCCTAATTTTTGTTTGGTTATGTTTCTTTCTTAACTGAAATTTTTCCATGAGAAATATTAAAGAAATGGCACATGGACAATCAGCTGTGGCCGCCTCTTCCTGATGCCCAGTCATGAATTATAATTTCCAAGATAGAACCCAAACTTGATTTCCTTCCATAGTTGTATCCTCACTCTTTGCCCCCAATTTGATGATTTTTCTTTTCTATTTTCTTTTTTTTTTGAAGAGGTTTTTGCTGTAGGGCGCATATGCTTGCCAGAAAGACAGAGAGAGACAGAGAGACAGAAAGCGAGAAATCACCCTCCCAGGGGGATGGCCACGCCACAATCCCTTCTCCTCCATTCTCCTCTTGGGATCTTGGGCACGCACGCACACGCGCCCAGTGTGAGTTTAAGTCACCAGGTCTGGGTCTCAAACCGTGGTCAAGTCCATGGGAGTCTAGCGACATAGCCATTATGCCAACTGCTGGTTCTGATTTTTCTTTTTTTTAAAAATCAAGATCAATAAAACTAACAGCTCTGAATTTTGGCTTCTTTCATTTTTTGTTCTTCCATGACCCCAAAATAGTCAAAAGAAGAAAAGTCACCAAATCCACAAAGCCCAACTATGCAATTAAACATAGTAAAGTAGAGTCATGCCAAATCATGACATAGTCCACATTTTACATGGAATCAGTAGGTTCTAAAGAACCTCTATGCTATCGGCAAATGATCTCTTATGAGGACATGTCTTCTCATACTCTGGCCATGAGCCTTCTCTTTACACAGAAGTCCACTGCCTTGTCTTTCCCAATGCTATTCTGCTCCAAGAATTCTTTGGTCCCAAAGGAGTCCCACAGAGTAGATGTACAGTCAACCACAGCCAAAGGGCAAGTGAGCCATCTTCAAAGAATTTAATACACATAAGAGGAAACCATTACAAATGTAAGTGAAGAAGAGTTCTCCATAATCTAAAGCCTTTTCTGCATAATACTCAAATGCCCAGGTGAAGCCATTACAGTGTTTTTGTCTAACACACTCTAATTCCACGCATATTTCTCTTTTGCTTCTCTGTTAACGTTCACTTAACATTTTTCTCTCTCTCTTCAAAATGTAACTGTATACACCTTATTTTTTTTTGGGGGGGGGTTTGTTTTTAGATGTTTTCCCCATAGGGAATGTGTCCTTGCTGTGAGACAGAGGGAGAGGAAAAGTGAGAAATGATCCCCGAGGAGGAGTAGCCACACTGCAATCCTTTCTCTTCTGTTCTCTCGGGATTTTGAGCATGCACGCCCATGCACCAGGCGTGTTTCCTAAGCTTCCTATTTGGGACTCAAACCGCAGAGTCATCCACGTGGGACCCAGCACATTAGCCACCACATCACCTGCTGGCTCTCTATATGCCAAATTTTTATATTTAAAACAATGATGTGGGCTAGCAGGTGGCGTGGTGGTTAAGGCACTGAATTCTCACATGGTCGCCTGCGGTTCAAATCCCAGATCCAGAGGCTTGAAAAACACACCAGGTATACATGCGTGCATGAGCAAAATCTCAAGAAGCAAACAGAGGAGGAGGGATTGCTGGGTGCTCATCCATCCTGAGAGTTGATTTCTCACTTTTCCTCTCTTTGTCTCTCTCTGGCAAGCACATGCACCCTACAGAAACATAAATAAATCATTATGGTTATGCTCGTTTAGAAAGAACGCTATGCACAGAGAGAAGGTCAATATGTCTTGCTTTGAAAGGCTGATGTTTACCTTCACACTGCAATTTTATTAAGCACACCTAATTCTCTGCCTCTTAGAACTTCCAACATCATCCCAATATTGCAAATCAAACTCTAAAGGGTCTCCCTTTACACAAAAATCATGCGCTACTTACTTTGCTGTTACTCTGGTGGATGTATCTTGGAGGTCACTCGGGTCAAAAAGTTGAGATTCTTTAAGGCCCAGCTCTTTACAGCCTCTCAAGAATAGGGTAATGTTGTCCTAAAAAGAAGAAAAGAAATGCAGGTTGGGGTGTAATTAAGAATCAGGCCCTTCCGTTTAACAGTCCCAGTCCTACAGGGTTGCAAGTCCTTAGAGCAGCTCCGGCCAGGTCCAAATGAGGGTCTGTTGTGTGACAGTCAGACTTTATTAGCAAATGCCAGAGTAAACACAACTGGAAGCTAGGCCAGGTTCCTTTTCCCCTCTAGCCTGACACATTTTCATAAAACTGTAAGTGTAAGAGGCCACTGGAAAGGGGAACCTAGCACCTTCCCTTAAACAGCACTTAAAAGACATTGCTTCAAAATTCTTTGGCTCTGCAAAATATAAAATTTGCTAATTATAAGACAAAAAGCTGATGATCATGTCAAAATTCTTAGTCCATGCCTTATTGCCTAGACTCCAGTTCAAATTGGTATTTAAAAATATATATACTGCTTTTGCTACCCAAGAGGTTTTCTCATCTTCAGCGAGTTTTTGGTTTGTTTGTTTGTTTCTTCCATGAGCAAGCAAAAGGGAGAACCCTTAATGGGGTCAAATGCCCTGATCCATTCCTAGGCCTTGGCAAGCCGCAGGATGACCACGGGTCAGGTGTGCCTGGTACACTCAGGACTTGAACCGGGAACCTTTCCATCTGGGATCACCTCACAGAGGGTTGAATTTCACCACCACGTCACCATCTGGCTGTTAGCAAGTGTTTCTTGTCAATTATCATCCAAAATATATTCTTTATGCATTTTACATGCTCTATATATCCTTTATGAATTTTGATTGACAATAGCTTCTTGGGGACTATAAACCAAATTAAATACACACACAAAAAAATCTCGACTTAATTGGGAGAGGAAAAAGGGGTGGGGGTGAACAAAGAAAGCTTTGAAACTCCTGCAAAATACCCTCCTCTAAGTGCAAACTTCTCTAGCAGGTACCAATTTACTGTTAAATGGGCAGAGAGGCAGAGCGTTGACAACTGAGAATTCTGGTCTCTGAGCCTAAGAAGAAAGAAATGATTCTGGAAGCGACTGCAAACTGCAGGTCGGCCTTTTGGAACTTCAGTCCACAGGCTTATCAGTTGCACGGCTCTAATATTCTCTCCCTAAAAGACTTCTAAAGGTGCTAACAGACCTGTTAGTAAAAGCCAGAAGACAAGGGATGCGGGCTCCAGGAGCCAGACTCAGGTGAACCCATCTGAACGGTATAAGAAAGCTGCTACATGGGACCAGCAGTTAGTGTAATGGTTATGTCGTTGGACTCTCATATAGTCAACTGCGGTTTGCATCCCGGAGCCGGTGGCTTAAAAAACTCATGCCAGGCGCGTGTGCGTGCATGCCCAAGATCCTGAGAGGAGAACGGAGGAGAAGGGATTGCGGCATGGCCATCCCCCCTGGGGGGGGATTTCTCGCTTTCTGTCTGTCTGTCTGTCTCTGTCGGTCTGGTGAGCGCACACGCCCTATAGCAAAAAATAAAAAAATAATAAAATAAAATAAAATAAATAAACGCCTCTCAAAAAAAAAAAAAAAGAAAGCTGCTACAAAAATCAGAAGTGATTGTGGTGCGTCCTGAATCATACAGCTACCCAAAGTAAACAGAACAGGTGGCATGTCCCAACTCTTCGGCGTGTAGACAGGGCTCTAAGATGATCACTGAGAATACGATCCCCTGGTTAGCAGCACCGTGCAATGCTGTCCCCTCGGTGCAGGTGACACTATGAATTTGCTGGGATGTCATTCTGCGGTTATGTTAGTACCTAGCTGGTTTTGAGTTTGTTAAATGAAGCATACTGGCCCGAGACAGCCTCTGTACGCACACACTCGAGTTCACATAAACAAACCACGGCCTCGCTCGGAAGTCCGCTTCTGCAGCCAGTTGCTGAATGACAGCAGGTTGCAGCAGCTGCAGGTCAGTCAGTCCCAGAAAACCCACCCTTGAAACTGTGCTCCAGCTGCCACCATTCCAACGACGTCTCCACCTCTTTTCCTTCACTTCCCCTTTTCTGCACAAGTATCTCCTGACCACGAGACGACCTGGGGTTTCTCTGAAGACCAGGGGGCTGCTCAATTTATTCTTTGTTCAATTACACACTTAAAACTTGGTTGTCTAGGGACCAGCAGTTGGTGTAATGGCTGTGTCGCTGGACTTCCATGTAGTTGACTGCAGTTCGAGTCCTAGAGCCGGTGGGTTAAACTCACACCAGGCGCATGTGCGTGCATGCCCTAGATCCTGAGAGGAGAATGAAGGAGAAGGGATTGTGGCGTGGCCATCCCCCCTGGGGGGTGATTTCTCGCTTTCTGTCTCTCTTTCTGGTGAGTGCACGCGCCCTATAGCAAAAAGCTCTCAAAACAAACAAACAAAAAACAAAAAATATCTTGGTTGTATAAATTACTTTTTTGTTATTTATTTTTTTTTCCTTTGGGAGATATTTTGCTAGAGGGTGCGTGGACTCACTGGAGAGACACAGAGAAATGGAAAGAGAGAAAGCAAGAAATCACCCCCCAGGGGGATGGCCACGCCGCAATCCCTTCTCTTCCATTCTCCTCTCAGGACCTTGGGCACACATGTGCATGTACCTGGTGTGAGCTTCAAGCCACCAGTGCTGGGTCGGCCATGTGGGAGTCCAGCAACTCAACCACCACAGCATCCACTTGACCGATTTGTCTAAATTTTAATTTTACAAGTTAATCCAGAGATGATCTGATTGAGCCTGACTAATCAAAAAGACTTTGGAAAGAAAATGATGGCAGAGTTCCCACTGGCCACGGCTTCCATAGTGTAAGAAGATAAATTCTGCCAATAACACGGTAAAAAAGAAAATCATACATCAAAGCTCAAAACACAAGAGCGGTAGAAAAGGGTTGCGAACCTTTCCGTAGCCCTTACGACACGACACGAATTCTTCTAAGGGCTTTGAATGCC